ATCGCCGCTGAGTCGAGCGATTATGCTTCTTCCAGCTGCTAAAAGGGTTGGGCAGTGCTTCTTTCGACTCGTTGTTGAATTTTTATGTCGACTCGGACTCGCGATTTTATACATTTTTGATGTTTTTTTTCTTCTTTTGTAATAGAAATGTTTGAATGAAATTTAAACTTTATAAGCTTTGTTAATCATCAAAATTTGGAAATTGTTAGCCTTCTACATTCTGAATGTATTCTCTTTGATTCATTAATAACTTGTATGTTCTCTTGAAGTCAGTAATTCATGATTTAACTTTAATTCAGTTGCCAGGCGTTGTGAAATGTTATATATCGATAGCATCGAGAATGACCGATCAAACAATTTGGTAGCTGAAGAGTTTTATTTTCCTCGGAATTTATTTTCTGTTTCAATTCTCGATCACTCGATGTCGCAAATTGACCGGTTTCTTTTATTTAGCAGAGTTGTTCGAGTTAGTTGAACGTTCTTATTTTTTTTTTTCTGTTTCTTTCAAGATAATTCGAGGAATATAATGTTATTTTAAATGGAAACTATATCTGACGTATTTAGTTTTGACGATTGATTTGCAATTGTTATCGAAGTGAAAATTTGGGGGAGGGGAGGACGTCGCCCAACTCTGTTGCCACAACTCGTGTGTCAATTTTCATTGCGTGATCTTCTTCGAATCGCGGTGACAAAGGTACACAGAGTACCACGTGTTACAATTTCGATTACTCGCACAATTAATATATACACATATATATTTGAAATTCGTTGGAAATAGTGGCAACGATTTGTTTTCTTTTTTATTCTGATTAATGGAAACACGATGTAACCTTATGTACAAATTCGTCTATAACGTTTAATATTTGATATATCAATAAACAAAGATCGTGTCTTTGTGTAAGATACTTTTATAGTATGTAAAAAAAAAAAAAAAAAAAAGAATTGCAGACGGCGGGAGGAAATTAGATGTGAAAGATGGCGGATAATTCGAACGAACACCAGATATCTCAGTAGTCTCTCTTCCTTTTTTTTAAAATGTATTTTTATATCATTTTTTGATTAAAAATCGAATTTTGTTTATCAAAACGAAAATACAGTTTGCACGTATGTTAGAAAAAAAAAAAAA